AACTATTCACTTCATGCATCCATTCTGATGGCAAAATTCTGGGAGTAGTGTTCAACACCATCTTCTCTGTAAACACCCAACCTAGCACACCAATAAGCCTGTCACAGTCTTTCTGTATAGTGTGTCTCAAATCCATCGGATTCTCTCCATCTCTTTTGTTGCCACCATTCCAGGATCAAGCCCTGGACTCCTAATTTATCTCCCAGTTTTTGTCCCTATTTATTTCATACTTAGTCCTCTGACCCCACCCTACATGGCAACCAGACTCAGCTTTTAAAAAGACAAACCTGATCAGATTCCTCCCCATCAAAATCCTTTAATGGCTTTCGATCCATTTTTGGATAAAGTTCAAACTCCTTATGGTCAACGAGGCTTAACGTGATCTGGTCCCTGAATACCTCTCTAGTATCTTTTTCCCCAGTATTTTATTCTGAGAAATTTTAAACAGATATCAAAGTGGATAAAAGATTTACAGGGATGATACATAGGCCCATCTGGATTTTGCTATTAACATTTTATAACTGATTAATCATATTTCTATCCATTTATCTACACCTTGCTTTTGGTGTGTTCCAAGTCAGACTATAGACTTCAGTCTCATTTTCACCATGAACCCCCTTGCTCTGTATACTCTAGCCACAGTCATCTTTCCAAATTCCTGAATCTGTCAGATGATTCTATGTCTCTGGGCCTGTGTACCTCTTTTTTTGTTCCTTCTACCTAAAATATCTTCAGCTCTTGTTAATTCAGAACTCACCTTTCAAGTCTCAGCTTAGGACTGTCTGTGAGAAGTTGTCTCTGAACACTCAATCTAAATTAGACCCACATACACAACTACAAGGCATCTTGGTCTTCCCTTAATATCACTTATTACAACTAGTAACTACATATTTACTGGGAAGATTACTTGTCTAATGTCTACCTCCTCTGCCAGATGAAAAGCTCCATGAAGATATATATGGAACATGTCTGTATTGGGACATGCTGTATCACCTCTGCAGAACTCAATTAATACTTATTGAAAGAATTAAAGGCAAAATGAATCAGTAATAGGGAAGAAAAACATTAAATAGTGAACTTGTCTTCCTTTAATATGTGTAAACAGGACAGTTTTTTTTTTTTTTTTTTAAGGTTTCTGACAGAAGACGGAACTTTCTTGTGGCCAGAATATAATCAGCAAGTTCATTAAGAAAATTACTAAATGACAAGATCCATGGCTGGCAGATGAGCCAAAAGAAGACTGTGGTGGGTGCCCTTCCCCACCAAGATCACCTCAAATCAACATATAATCTAAGGAAAGACAGTATCCTTGATGTGTAGATAAAGCTTAAGTAAGAACAGCTGTTGTAGCATATTAAGAACATTTATTGAAGGCTGGCTTTGTACTAGGCACTGTCTTGAGCATTTTCTCTGTATCAAATCACTTTTCCTAAGCTATAGGGTCCTACTGTTACTCCCATTTTACAGCCAAGGAAACTAAGAACAGTTATTTTAAAATACTCCACTTATGAGAGTATTCTGTGTCTCCAGTTGAAAGTAGAAGATTGATCTAGAAATCTATGAACTACTGTAATAAAGAGTGGGTTCTTTGGCCCAAAGGAAGCCCAACTAAAATCCCCAATACCCTTGTGCAAAGCACTTCCATTTATTTCATTTATGTCCATGTCTTTCTTATACCTGCTTTCTTGTGAGGAATAAATATCCACAGATAAAATAGAGATTTGAGAGATGGACCCTTGGTTAGGAAACCCTGAGTTCCAGATCTGCAAAGGCCAAACCATCATGCTGACTTTATTTTTGTGGTCATTCCAACTCTACCAGATGCCCTTACTCATCCCATAAATACACAATTTTTTTAACTAAAAAAAAAAGAATCTAGGGGCATTGAGCAACATTCCAGCCATTTTTTGTATTTTATTTAGAGACAGGGTCTCACTCAGTTGCTTAGTGCCTCACTTTTGCTGAGGCTGGCTTTGAATTCACCATCCTCCTGCCTCAGCCTCCCAAGCTGCTGGGATTTGGCATGCACCACCAAACTCGGCCCATACATACACTTTCAAATTATCTCTGCAAAGAATCCTCTCCAAGTTAGAAACCCAGTTTACACTCAAGATGAAACCATTGTGATCAAGAGCTATAGTTAAAGGAAAATGAGGCAATGCAGAATTTCCCAGCAAAAAATACCTGGGTTCAGACACTGTCCTGAGTTTCAACATTAGCTTTTTCATTGACTGTGTAACCTTGGCAAATTAATAATGTCTTTAGGTCTCAGTTGGATTCATTTTCCTTATTGGAAAATGAGAACCACTTCTTGGAGTTGGATAGGTTGAAAAGCTACACATAAAGAACTCAGCAAAGTGCTTGGAACACAGAAGATGCCCAAAAATGTTAACTTTAACAATGGAAGAAAGATAGGAAAAGGTGGGTGAGGGGCAATAACTTTAATGTTCATGATAACAAAAAAAGTCACAGGGAATGTATTAATGTCTTCAGCAAATACACATCATGCACTCAGTTATAAGAGAAAGAGAAGCTTGGGTAAAAAGTGTCCTTTAGCATTTGCATTGCTCTTAGCTGGATGAACTTGCCTGCAGCTACCACTTACAATGCAAATTGAGCTTAGAGTCCCCTTCACACTAACTACACAGCAAAACCCTTTCAGCTTTAAATAGAACACTGCAGTGTGGAATGATCTGAGCAAAGGGGAGAAAAATTCACCGATAAATGTGAAAGAGATTTTAGTGGTGGGGGGAAGCCTGATATATCTGAGCAGGTAGGAGGAAAATGCAGAGATATAAAAAGGAACAGGAAAGTATGATCTATAAAAGGACCTAGAGGCTAATTCCTCTGTAAGCAAACTGAAGTTAATAAGGGGGAAGAGAACTTTTGGGGAGAATTTTAACAGAGAATATTTTAATCTGGTGCTCTCTCAAGGCATGCTTCTACTTTTCGGGTGTTCAATGGAAGAGGGGCTGTTCCCCAAGGCCAGTAACTGCAAGAATATTCCTGGAAATGAATAGGTCAAGAATATAAGAACTTCTTGCTGGGCCCAGCTTTACACAATCTAACTTCCATTCCCCCTTTCCTTTACTGAGATGGAGGGGATGGGGCGGGGGAGAGAAGTAGAGATCTGAGAGGTTGACTCTCACATATCCGAAAAATTTTAGAAAGTTCTTTGCTACAAACTCATGCCCCATTTTGACTATATAGGCCCATGTATTTAATCCAAAATCATAATTTACAAAAATTCCACAAAATAGGAATAAAGGCAGAATCCAGGGTGTTGAAAGCAATAAGAAATGCCACTTTTAACTGATTTCTTCATTGTACAAATGACACTCCTTTCCTATTCACATAACCCCAATTTGGCCATCTTCTCAGCTTGGTGAGTTTCCTTTGCCTGCATAATGTAATATAGTTGAAAACATGAAGGCAGCCCTCTATCTTCATAGTCACAGAAATGTTTCCCCCAAAGCCAATAAACCCAAGCAAGGCCTACTTCTTTCTTGGATGCCATGCTTAGATACTGAGTTGTCATATGGTACCCATCACTGACCCAATACAAAGCATGAAGACTGAGGAAGAACATCTTACAATCATGGTGTCATCATGAAATAGAATCAGTGAGTATATTGCTCATTACGGGGAAGGGATGGGCTGTACATCTTAAACAGCATCTCTAAGCTCCTGGAGGACAGAGCTTACAACTCTACTTTATCTAGCATTGTGGAAATACTGGGCTTCAAGCTCTCCAATAATGACAACCAGTGGAAAAACATATTTTCAATAGCACTGGCCATTCTTCCTATCAAAACTTCCCAGAATGTTTATTGAAGATGCCCCCAGATTGTGTCTGTCTTTTGATTTCCTTCAGAGCTTGAACCCTCCACCCACATTTTGCTAGTATTCTTTTGAATTGATTAAATATTACAAAAATCGTAGCATTCAAGAATAGTAAGAATCATTTTTTTAAAAATTAACATACCTTGCAACATTTTCCTAAAGCACTTCCACACATTTTTTTCTCACGAGAATATGGCTAATATGACAATACAACATTTTATATTAGTGGCTAGGGATAAAGGCCTACAGGTAGAAAATAAAGCAAAAATGCAAAAGTTTTGTCATTCAAATAAAATGTCTCCACTCTCTATTCACACACAAAAGGCGGAATAAGATCCACCTGCTGACTTTCCCTGCCTGCTCCACAGCGCTGGGGCTAATGTCAGAACAAGCTGGTAGAGAGAGAGAGAGAGACGACAATTTCACCTCTTGGCAAAGCTCAGCTTGCTGAACCCTCTTGCTTTCTGCTGGCTGTTGATTCAGCAGAAACTACTGCTGCAGAATTCATAATGGTGATTTTAAAGGCCACACCGATCGCATTGGTCGCCCCACGTGTCAGCTTCGTTTGCTCGCCGCTGGAACACTGTTTCCCCAGCCACCTTTTTATTTCTTGCTAATGCACTTCCAAGGGGAGACGGGCTCGCCCTTTTGCAAAGGGTCTTTTGGGGTTTTGATTGTCTGACCAGGTAAAACCCGGCCAGCCGGAGAGATGAATGGGCAGGAAATGAAACCATGCCCTCCCTACAGCCACTGAGACGCACATCATTTCGCCCAGGGAGGGGTGGACCAAGGTCCTACTGGGCCCCTCCCTTCTCTCTCTCCCAGACCCCTGTAAGCATCTTGGAACAGAGGTCATCTGCCTTCCTGAGGTCATCTTTTCCGGATGGGAGCCGCGCCCTGAAAAAGCCTAATCCCCAAGGGCCATTTTAACTCCCAGGGGCGCCGGGTCCACCTGCTGCTGAACGAAGGGCTCGCCTAGCAGAGCCCGGATGGATGTGCGGCGCCCTGGCGCTACCCTGCGAGCCGAGCCCGAGCCCTTGCCCCAACCCCCGGGCCCGGAGGAGTCTCCGCCACTATGCGTCTAGCTGCCCACCAAGCACAGCGAACCGCAACTTGCACCCGGCCCCAGCGGCGGAATGCGGCCGGGTTGGCGTTACCTTCGGTCGCATAGCTGTGGTCGCGCAGGAAACTGTTGTTGATTTTGCGGGTATCAATGTCCTCCTCCATTGACAGCAGGCTTACTTGCGTGGGAACCAGAAGCCGGCAGACAAGTATCCATGATCCCTCCCCGCAGCCAGTCTCACAGGAGAGGGGGGCAGGGGAGCCAGTGGGACTGCACCATGGTCCGAGCCTGAGGAGGAGACGGGGAGGCGGAGAGAAAAAAAATAAAAACCCGGCAATGGAGCTGTCACCTCCTCCACTCGGGCTCTCCGAGGCTGCGGCGGCTCCTCCCGCGCGGTGTGCTCACTTCAGCTCCAATTCCCAGCGAGGATGCTGCGCCTGCCTCTGCTGCCTCCGGGTGCCAAGATGCGCCGTGCCCGGAGGGGTCTGGTCCCGCCCTCCCGCCCCGGAGGCGCTCACAAGCGGGGCTGGGGAGATGCCCAACAGGTTCCCCTCGTTGGCAGCCGCTCCAAAATGCAAAAAAGATCCCTCCTCCCCTGGGAGAACGGGCAGCCGCGACAAAATGGTGCCTTTCCGGACCCAAGCTGCAGTGACGAGATGGCAGGGGCAGGATTCAGGATTGCCTGGCCGGGATGAGGGTGTTGGTCCCGCGGGAGGGCGGCTCCGGCAGGAGGGGGCTAGGGAAGCCAGCCGGGAGCTGGGCAGGGCGCTGCGGCCGGCGCCAGCTCACTCACCCTCACACCCACACGCGCGCACTCGCAGCAGCTGCTGCTGCTGCTGCTGCTCCTGCTGCAGGAGGCTGGAGGCGGCTGGTGCATTAAAGGCGAGGCTCCTCCCAACCGCGTCAGCAGCCCCAGGACTCTTCCCCAGCAGCAGCGGTGCCCTAGGCAGAGGCTGCGGCTGCTCTCTGCTGCAGTGGGGCGCACGCAGCCGCGGACCGGCACCTGGGCAGCAAGCAGCTAGCTTTGAGGTTCACGCGAAAAGCACAGACGCGCTCTTCCAACCTTTTCCCTCGCGTGCCTCGAAGCCAAGGGCCGCGTCTACACTAACACTCAGTCTTTAGCTCACTGCCTTTCTCAAGACACCCGCACTTCATTCAGGACACCAACCAGAAGTAGGTTCCTTTGGATAAACTGTAAATCCAACGAGGTCCCTTTCGTTCACCCCCATATGATGCGATCCCTTGCTGAAGTTAAAAGGAGAGGCCTGGAGCTCAAAGCCTCAGAAAGAGTGGACAGAGTGGGAAGAAGAGCTGCTCAGAGTCTTGCTTAATTCCTCTGTGCTAGGAACAGAAAGAAGAGCAGGAACAAGAACTTCACAGTCGCAGTCACGTTTGTCTCTTCCATTCTTAACAGGGTCAGAACATCGCCTAACTGTAGAAAACTGGGGTTCAGAAAAGCGTCAATATCTTCACAGGCAGAGAGAACTGTGAATCTAATCAACCAATCGGAAGAAGTCCTCTCTCCCAAGCCCTTTGCACTTTGTTTTGAACAAACAGCCCACAGCCCCTCTGTTCAGTTTTGCTTGTGAAGGAACTGCATTTACTCTCAACATGGAAGGTACGTCTAAATATAAGGAGCTCCATACCCACAGAGAAACCCCTGCTACCCTGAGGGAATTTCAAGGATCCAATTAACGTGAAAAGAGGCCCCCCCTTTCTACTTCAACTGAGAGGAAAATACAGAAATACAGAATTCCCTCCCCCATCCAAGTTTCCCCAAATTGCAAATTCTGCATTTGAAAGAAAATGAGATCATTATTGTTATGAAACAACCAAAATCATTTAATGAAGCAACTCAAATCACTAAAAAGCCAATTTGGAAAATAAATTCCCCTAGTTTCCCCTGGTAGAAGGTATTCCTTTCAATGGGTGTCACTGTAGGGAGAGACATCAGCAAATGTCTTGCTCAGTTAAGCTCCACAAGTTTAGCTAGATGAGCCCAGAGGGACCTGTGAGTTAATTATATACATACAATGCTTCGGCTAACACAATTTAGAAAGTATTTGAAGTTAAAAAAAATGGAAAAACAAGTCTTTAACTGAGGTTGGGAATTGCCTAGATTTCTAAGAAGAATAGATGCTTCTGGCAGGTGGAAAATGGCATTGTTCTCATATTCAGAAAGTGACTGCATATACCTAGACAAAAAGAGAAGAAATGTCTCTTGACATATTTTTTTTGGGGGGGCGGAGTTCAAATCCAGTAGATTCCATTTTATTTTTATTTGGTGGTTAACTCTTACACATTAAATAATCAAAATCAACACATGTGAAATTTAAGTAAGAGGTGAAGACTGATGCAATTTGATTTGATCCACTTCAGTATCAGCTGTTCAGGCTAGATCTTCCCTTTGATTGGCTGTGTGCATCAGGAAGGCTGCAGGATTCAGTCACCTGTGGTTATACAGTCCAGCTTCTCCTGGAGATTGGCATACCGTAGAGAACGAGTAGAAGGGCAAAGAGCTAAGTTTATCTCTTAGTGCATCAAGGTGGTGAGAAGATATCTTGCATGCAGTTGAAATGACCTTAAGTTAAGACAGGAGGCTTTGGAATAGTATTTGGGAAATTCTTCCCCTTGTTTCTGGAACATGGGCTAGATTAGATCAAAGCAGAGCTGTGGGATGAATCAGGTAGGATCAGGCTCATTGGCCAGGCTGTGCTTGAGGAATTTTCCATTGTATTCAATGGGAGAAATGTCCTCTCCAAAAATTGAGCCTCTGGGTTTACTAAATCTTCCCTCTCACATTTCCTGCAAAATTCCCCCTTCCTTTATTCAGCTATACACAAGATACAAGTTCTGAGAAGGCAAGATGGACTTCCATTTACTGAGTATGTTTCAAGGTTTCTGTTCTTTTTCACTGTGAAAAATGAAGAACTAGCCCTCCAATCAAAACCAAGGGGGAAAATTCCATTGGCTGTTACCTTAACACTATGACATGACAAAAGAGGTAAGATCATGAAAGAACCCTTATGCAGTGCTGTGGAGGGAAGGGACTGAAAGGACTTACTGAGCTCCTTTCTATTCCTCCGGAATGTCAAGTTCTTTCCAAAAGCTCCCAGCCTCTCCGCATACTGTCCTCTGTTTCTCATTCTCTTGGCATTCTTCAGTTCCTCAACTGTTCCTATTTCATTGAGACATTCCCCAACCACACCACAGACCCTACTTTTGGTATTTGCTATCTCCACAATATTTTTGTTTTAGCATTCTTCATTAGCCAATTTATTTTATAATATTTCTTTATTTTATTTTATTTTTGGCACTAGATTGAACCCAGGCACACTCAACCACTGATCCATTTCCCCAGTCCTTTTTGGTATTTTATTTAGAGACAGAGTCTCACTGAGTTGCTTAGGGCCTGGCTTTGAATTCAGGACCCTCCTGCCTCAGTCTCCTGAGACACACCTGGCTGTTTACTTATTATAGATGCTTACTTGTTGAATGAAAATAACTATTTATTGGAAGAGTAAATTACTGAATTTGTTTAGTTATATTTAGATTTTATACCTCTCTCTTTTTGTTGAAGTTCATGCAAAAAAAAAAAAAAAAAAAACCAAAACACAATCTGTTGTGAGCCTGAAATGTTCTAACTTATTATTCCTATTCTTACTGAAATGATTGTGCATATAGCAATGAATAGGAGCAATCATTTCAATCACTTCATTTCAAAATTTGCTGAACACCTAATATATGCCAGGTTTGTTCTAGGTGAGGGATATGGATAATACAAAACAGCTTCCTTTCCTTCACAAAACTTAAATCCCATCATCCCATTTTTATAACTGAGCTTTCTTAGAAGTACAACAAATGCATTGTAAGTCAACAGACCATAGCATTGTATTAAGTGCCAAGTCTCTGATATCAAGGCAAAACTAATTTCCTGCAAGTTATGATTGTATCCTCAAGTGAGTTACAGGCTCTGGTTAAGCAATGGTTTTCTTATCTATAAATGAGGAAGAAGAATAGCATCTATTTCATCAAGTTATTGTGAGGATTAAGTGAGATAATGTTGGTACTACTTTGAGTTTTTACTTTTATCATCATCCACACCACCAATATTCAACAAATATTTAAGTGCCTACTATGTCAGATGCTGAAATAGGACTGGAGATTCAGCATGAGTTGTATAATCAGTCTGTGCTGTCATTGAACTTAGTGTCTAATTTACAGTTTATGTAAAGGGGGCCACAGGCTACAAAGGGGCAGCAGAGGGCTCTCTGAAAGGCTGACCTAATTCAGCCTTGTGCTTTACACAGAAAGAGCCAATTACAAATACACAGCCTTCTTCTGTTACCCAATTCAGCATGACAGCATGTGGACACATTCTTTTTTTATCACCCTTGTCATGGGCCCCCTCCCCCAACATTCGCAAATACCTTCCCCCAGTTCAGCTAGTGTTTCCTACACTGGAACCTTTTAGCTCATCCTGTCCAATTAGCACATTAAATATCTACAATTTTATTAAAGCCCTTGACCTGAGCCAGTCTAGAGATTCTTATTATAGGCTTTAGGTGTCAGACAGTCCCTGGTTTGTGTCCCAGTTCAGGCATTTATGAATTTCTTGACCTTTGGCAAGTAATTTAACATCTCTGAGTCTCTGTCTTTACAAAATGGAAGGGAACAATAGTAGCTACTTCACAGGGTTTTGGGTGGCATCAGAGACAATTTAAGACAAGTGCCTGGTCCAGGCCCATTGCCAGGTTCTGATTCTGCTCACCGTGCTGTATGGAGATCTCTATGGGAAGACAACTGGAGAGACACACTGCAAGTCAATCATTCATGTGAGCAAAAGTGACCTAGAAACCTGAATTTTACAACCTGTCAGTGTCTTAATGAGCAATTAGAAACTGGACACATGAAGTTTACCATCTTGCAGAAACCCCTGCACACATCATGAAGTACTATGCAAAGGCCAAGAAAAAGGGCTATTCCATTTTGGCTTTCTCCTTCTGAGTGAGCAGAGCTAGCTAGCTGCATTTCCCGTTAGGGAGTTTTCTGGAATCCTTCTCCAGGATCACTAATCACCAAAGGCACAACTCTTTCTCTCCAAGGTGGCTTATGTGCCAACTGCCCAGAGGCTGACCTCTTGCATTTCTAGCAAGTTTGCAATTCTTTCTTGCACATGCTACAACATGTAATACCACATGAGTAATCCTTTAACATGGCATCTAAGTTAGGAAAAGAAAACAGAACCTCTTGCTCTCACATTGATGTATTAATTTTAGATTCTGGAC